CAGGGCACGTTTAAACCTTTCTGTTCCTTTTTGCCTCCCATGGACATCACCAAAGGCAATGCCACACCTCAGCCCAGCTGGTGTCTGGGGCCCTGGTGCCTCCAGCAGCTTTGCCTTGACCCCTGGTTTAATTTCCCTAATGAAGCCAGGCTGGGAAGCAGGGCTGGGCTGGCTGGGGAACCCCCTGCCAAGAGCCATTAGCTGGGAAGCTGGAATTGCACTGCAGGGAAGCTGCTGGCCCTCTGCTGGAGCCAGCAGATCGAGGAGCTCAGCATCCTGCTGCCCTGGGACCAGACCCAGTGTCCTGCTGGGCTTTTCTTCTTCCCTTGGGACCATCTGCCCACATGGCCCAGCTTTGCCTGGTGCACCTGGAGAGGGATGCACAGAGGACCTGGGAGTCCCTCTCCTACAGAAAACCTGGGGAGGGAATTTAGCAAGGGCTTGTAGTGAGGGGACATGGGGGGATGGATTAAAACTGGGAGAGGAGAGATTGAGGTTGGACACAAGGAGGAAATTGTTGGGTGTGAGGGTGGTGAGAGCCTGGCCCAGGTTGCCCAGGGAAGCTGTGGCTGCCCCATCCCTGGCAGTGTTGAAGGGCAGGTTGGATGGGGCTTGGAGCAGCCTGGGCTGGTGGGAGGTGTCCCTGCCCATGCAGGGGGTTGGGACTGGATGAGCTTTAAGGTGCCTTCGAACCCAGACCAGACTGGGATGCTATGAGTCCTGCAAGCAGGTTTTCCCATCCCGACTGTGGATTTCCTGATGTGGAAACTCTCTCCTAGGGCTGGGAATGTGGAGGGGCTGCACAGGCTTCCCAGCCCCATCCCTCTTGCAGCAGGGCCAGGACAGTCCCTGATCCCAGGACTGTGAGGGACAGATCTGGCACACCGAGAGGTCTTTAGAGCAGGATCCCTCCAACTTTGCTCAGAGCATGTGGAGACTGCTGGGTTGGGGATAAAACCTAGGGGCAGTTTCTGTTTTGGGACTGGTTTGGGTTGGGAGGACCTTAAAAATCAGCTAGTCTCAAACCCCTGCATGAGCAGGGACACCTCCCACCAGCCCAGGTTGCTCCAAGCCCCATCCAACCTGCCCTTCAACACTGCCAGGGATGGGGCAGCCACAGCTTCCCTGGAGGATCCAGACTGGGAGGTGGGAGCTGCCATCCTTCAGGATTTGTGATTTCCCAGGCTGGAAAAATCACCATTCCTCTCCCTTTCAGGCTGGCCATGCCCTGTTATTGCTGAGGGGGGGGGCTGGGGGCTGTGCCCAGCTGCAGGGCTTCATTCACGTGGAGCACTCACCCTCTGAGCAGCAGCAACTCTAAATAAACACTGACCCCAAGATTTATTGCAGGAGTCTGACCCCAAACCACTCAGGCTGCAGTTGGGGCAGCCTGGCCAGGAGGAGGTTTGCATCATGGAGTGGTGCTGCACAGGGGCTCTTTTGGGAACAGCCATGTCCCAAACACCCCACTGCTCCACCAGGAACCCTCTGAGATGTTTCACAAATCCTTCAGCCTTGGTGAAGCTTGGTGGGCTGAGACTGTGCTTGCTGCAGTCAGGGGGGCCTGACTATGGGGTTATTTAGGGTTTTACTCTGAGTGGGTGTAATCCTAGGATGCAATCCTGGGATCCTAGGGCAGATGCAAGCCTGGGATGAAGGTTGCTGGAGAGGAGCAAAGCATCTGTTTCTGCTTGCTGTGCTTTTGTGTCACCAGCTCCCCCCACATGCAGAAGCAGCTCGGGAGACTTGTGGACATGCAGGAGAAGGGAAACTCTCTGCCATCCCACCTCAGGTCTCATTTCAGCTCCCCTGAGCAGCAGGAGTGCTGCAGTTCTGTGAGTGTTGCAGTGGAGCAGCAGTTTGGTGCTTGGCCATGTGGGAGCTGGAGTTGCATGTGCTGAGCTGGCCCTGCAGCAGCAGGGCATGGTCACCAGCTCTCCTGGTGCCTTCTTGGTGTAAACTCCACCAATCACTGCCAATCCTTGGGGATCTGCTAAGGGCAAAACCTGGCTGAGAACTTCTGCTGTCCCACGGGCAGGTGGGGCTGAGGTGTCTCTCATCCAGGGTGCTGTCTCCAGAGAGTGAGTTTTGGCCCTGCAAGGTGTTTCCTTGCTGAGAAGTTGTTGCTGCTGCAGTGAATGGCTCCAGGAGATGGATCCGTGGGGCTGCAGCACAGATCCTGTTCCCTCAGCCTGGAGGGGAGTGGATCTGGAAGGCAACAGAGCCAGAGGAAGTGCTTCCATCTCCAAACTTCTGCATCCTATTGGGAAGCTGAGAGCTGCAGGTTGGAGCACAGCACTGGTGGTGACCTGGGAGGATGCTGGAGCCTTGCACTGGTGCCTATGGACCTGGCCATGAGCTGACAAGGGGTTGCTGGGCTTGGTTGTTGTCTGAGCAGAACATGGGAGTGTTATCCTCATGGGAAAGGGCTGCTTTTGGATTTGGGACTGGACAGTTCTCACCAGCATCTACCCATTTGCCTTCAGCCCTGTCGCTCTTGGCTGTTCTCCTGGGCAATGCAGACCTGGAACAAGCACTGGTTCTGCTGAATATGTCCACCCTGGGATGAAAGGATGGATGGATGGATGGATGGATGGATGGATGGATGGATGGATGGATGGGTGGATGGGGCTGGTGTGACATGCTGAGGCCACATGCTTCCATTTTGGTTTCCTGATCCTAGCAAGGGGACTTGGTTGGAGCTACCTCATCTGTTTCCAATCTAAGGAAGAAATGGGCTTGATGGAGCTGGGCCATGTGGCTCCCATTAGAGTGAGGCTTTGCCAGTCATGCAGAGAGAATCCAGCCTTTGGGGGGCTCTCCTGGGTTAGGTGACAAGGGTCAGGGGTGGTCTGGGGGGGCACCTGTGAAATGTTTTCCTCATTTCTTGGTGACTCTCTATGGTTTTGGTGTAAAAAATAAAAAAATCCTATAAGAGCAACTTCAAATGCTTCTTCCTCCCACCCCTCAAACCTTGCCATTTTTCCTTGCCCTCCCATCCCTTTTGGTAGCCTGTCTCATGGTTAATGGCTCCTGGGGGTGGGGCAGCCCAATAGACTTCAAAAGACACTGAACCAGCCCCTGTTTGTCCCCCAGCATCTCCTAGTCCTTGGTTTCCCTGCCCTGGGCACAGGGACAGAGAAGTCCTGGATGGGCCATGTCACTGTGAGTGAGCTCCATGGCTTTGTCCTACTGACCCAGGAGGGACTTGACCCAAAAGGTTTTGAAATCACAGAAGAATTACATGGTGAAACCAAAGGTGGTTCTTGGGGTTTGTTTTTTTTGACTTCTATCCATTGCCTTCCCCTGGGCTACAGCAGATCCCATCTGAGCATCTTCTTATTCTTGCATTTTACTTATTTGCTGTTGCACACCAGGTCAGAGGTGAGATGGCACCTCTTCTGCAAAATCACTTGCCCTGATTCTTGGTGCACGTTTTCCCCTACTTTTTTTTTTCCCCATCTCTTCTCCAGGAATTGAAGTCTGTTCCTCCATAGATATAAGGATTATTTGAAATCATTTAAAAATCAGCACAGCCTCTCACGTCCAGAGCACCTCTCTCCCTTCCCCAGCCTGTGCTGCAGCAGGATTTAGCTTCTGTGGCTCCACGAGGGGCTGATGAGTCCCAGTTCCCTAGGGATTAATTCTGGTGGAGAACTGAATTCCTCAAGAAAGCTGCTGGTGACTGTGTAATTGAAACTCCAGGAGGCTGCATGATCTTTGAGGCAAAGACTGAATCTCCCCAGTGGTTTGGGAAACGTGTGGTGGGTTGGAGACTGGCAGGACATAACCAGTGGCTGTGGTGATGGGGAAGAGATGAAGAAATAGATCCAGCCAGAAAAACCTCAGCAGCACTTTCAGGAGAGACAGACACTTGAAAGCCCAATGGCCCTTGACCTTCCTGAGAGATTTTTGTCCCCAGACATGTGCTCACACTGTCCCCGTGGGTGTGTGGCTCAAGTGGTACCTCTGCAGGACCCCAGTGACTATTTGCAGGGTTTGTGCAGCAGACATCTCCTTGGCTTGGGCAGCAACCAGCTCACAGGCCCAGGGATGTGTCCTCACACCTCCTGCCACTGAGCATCTCACCCATTTTCTCTCCCTTGCCAGCTGATGTGCTTCAGGAGGGGAGATGTGGGGTCTGAGTGAAGTCCCAAGTTTTAATGTCATGGCACCTTCTGTCTTTTCAAAACTCCTTTTTGTTCCAATCTCTAATGAAAACAAAGAAACTTGAAGCTGTTGTCAAGAGGCAAAATGCTCTAATAGGTGAAGGGGACCCTTCAACCCTTTTATTTTAAATTTAAGCACTAACCTGGCTTGTTACATCTGGAAACATCTGATGCTATCTTGCAGATCAAAGCCTCCTTGTTTGGGTTGTAATGAAGTGTCAAACTGTTTCCTTGCAATACAAACAGGGAGACACTTTGATCTGCAAAACAAGATGTTTTAAGAGCCCTACTAGCAAGGGCTCTTCAAGATGTAGCAGTGCTGTGAAGCAGTGGAATTTTTGAAGTCTGATACTGTTTAATATTGAGATTTTCCAAGTTATGGAAGCAGACAGTGTGTGTTCCTCTCCCCACCTGGGCCAAGAATCACAGGAAAATCATCTGAAATGAGCTGGAGAACCAAACTGATAATTCTTCTAACAGTTTCCAACAGCAGTTGTTTGGGTTGTTTTTTACCCTTTTCCTTGGGAAGTCATAGAATCATGGAATGGTTTGGGTTGGAAGGGACCTTAAAGATCATCCAGTCCCACCCCCTGCATGAGCAGGGACACCTCCCACCAGCCCAGGCTGCTCCAAGCCCCATCCAACCTGCCCTTCAACACTGCCAGGGATGGGGCAGCCACAGCTTCCCTGGGCAACCTGGGCCAGGCTCTCACCACCCTCACAGCAAAGAATTTCTTGCTATTTTCTAACCTAAATCCTAAACCTCCAGTTGAAAGCCATAACCCCTTGTCCTGTCAGAATCAACGTGAACAATGTCAACACAATGTAAACATGTCTGAAATTTCTGTAGCAGCACAGGGTTTTGGGGACAAAAAACCCACCTCGTGGCTCCTGGAGGTTGGGCTGGAAAGCACTGCCTGCCCTCCTGCTCCCTTGGTCTTGCTTTTCCCTGTCCCCTTTCACACAGATCCCCAGGGACTGTCTGGGGGGATGTGTGTGTGGGTACCAGGCTGGGGCTGGTGGGGCTGGAGCTGCTCACGTGTCTCTCCCTGCAGGCTCAGCGCTGGCGCAACGAGAACTATGAGAGGCCCGTGGACCTGGAGGGCTCTGGGGATGATGACCCTTTTGGGGATGATGAACTGGACGACGTCTACTCGGGCTCTGGCTCGGGGTGTAAGTAGCTGTGGGGCTCCTGGGGAGTCTGGTTTGGTGAGGCTGGAGAGGGGCTTGCCATGGGATGGTGGGGATCAACTCCAGAGCTGCCCTCCTGTCCTCCAGAACAAAAAAGCAAAGGGAATTGTCCCAAAGGTTGGGCTCAAGTGACTCCATCTCCCAGTTCCATCTCCTGGCCCTCCTGTGCAGGATTAGCCCTTCCCCAGCACAACATGCCAGGTTTTCAAGGTTTCATTGACCCCAGAGAGGGGCTTTGGCCACCACATGGGAATTTACAGCTCTTGGTTTCTGCTGAGCCTGGAAGCACTCTGGGTTTTTTTTGGGGGTGAGGCCAGGTTCATGTCATGGGAAATGCTGGGACAGCAGCAGCTTCTTCACCCTTGGCTCTTCTCCCCCTCTTGCAGATTTCGAGCAGGAGTCAGGGCTGGAGACAGCAGGGAGCCTCACCACGGACACGTCTGTCACGCTCCCCACCACGGCAGCCACGCTGCCCGTCACCCCCGTGCAGCCCGTGGCAACCCCCTTGGGACCATTCCCTGCTGAGGACACCACCCCTGGGCAGACAACCAGCACCTTGTATATCCCCAGGGTGACAGAGGCACCAGTGATCCCCACTTGGAAAGCAACCACCACCACCACCACTGCCAGTGACTCCCCTACTACCACGACCACGACCACCACCACCACCACCACGGCCACCACCACTGCAGCCACCACTACCACCAGCACCACCGTGGTCACTGCCAAGCCCACAACCACCCGGAGGTTCCTGCCCCCTTTTGTCACCAAGGCAGCCACGACCCGGGCCACCACCTTGGAGACACCTACCACCTCCATCCCTGACACCAGCACACCCACGGAGGTGGCCACCTCACCCCTTGTCCCCACCAGCACGGCCAAGCCCCGGACCCTGCCAAAACCAACCACCTCCAGGACTGCAGACCTCACAGAAAAAAGCCCTGCTTTGCCAGCCACTCTGCCGCCCACAGAAGCCCCCCAGGTAGGAAGCAGGAGCTCTTCTCACCTGCTGGAGGGCTCGTGGGCCATGTTTGAAGCCAAGTGATGGTGACGGGAAGTCTTTGGAGTTGATCTGTCCTTAGCCAGTTGCTCAGAAGGAGGCTGAGCCAGGTTGGGCTCTTCCCAGCAGAACATTTGCAGAGCTGGAGGGGGGATATAGAAGGGTGAGGGCTTGAGCATGGTGATGGGAATGGTGTGAGAGCTGACAGGGGCACCCAGGGTTATACCACATGTCCCTGCTGCCCCCAGTTCAGTCCTGCTTGGCTGCTCCAGAGCAGATTCCCCGGGCAGGAGGGGAGCAGGGCTGGGGGGGCCACTGCTTTCCCCTGGGTTTGGTGTCTGGGCTCATCCTACCACTTCCCAACTTGCAGCCTGTCAGTGGGAGGCCCGAACGCTCCACAGTTCCAGCTTGATGGTGCATTTCCAGCTCACTGGGTGTCCTGAACACGGGATTTAACCCGCTGATCCATCTTCTCATTCAGAGCCCCTCAGGGGCCTTTTGAAAACCACTTTGACTGAAGGGTGGAGTGATTTGTCTAAACTAGTCCCTCTTCTCTGCATACATATACGTGTGCACAGCGCCCCGGGCCCTCCCTGACCTTCAATTAATCTCTGTCACAAAAATGCTGCTGGTGGGAAGCAGTGAGCTGTGCCTGGCCTGGGGCCAGCAGGACATGGAGAGGGCTCCTCCCCAGCCCCTCTTCAGGCTTCAGCCCGTCGAGCTCGATTCTCATCCCAATTTGTAACATCTCATTCACTCCACGAAGGAGGGATCCCAGGGAGGTTCTGCCTGGGGGTGCTCAGTGCAGCCCAGCTCAGCCTGGGGAGGCTCACCCTGCCCATGTTTGCTCTCCAACCTGGGTTCACCTCCTTGCCAAGGGGGATTGATCCAGGACCAACCCAGGGCCAGTCCGGCAGGGAGCTGGGCTGGCTCCATGTCCTGGTGAGAAAGGACCCAGCTTCCTGCTCCTGCCCTGGGCTGCAACCAAAAGAGCAGGTTGAAGAGAGAAAAGGGAGAGGGGAAGGATCCCCTGGGACTCATCCAAGGGCATCTGATCCTCACACTTGCTATGATGCTCTAGCACAAATGGTTGCACCACTCCCTGCCTAGTGAGGAGGCACTGGTGGGATGTTTCATCCAGCCATTGATCTACACTGGGACCAGGGAATCCAGATGAGGTTCAGGGCTGTGGGCCTCTCTCTAGGGTAAGCTGCAGTGAAGAGGTGAGTTTGTGCATCCTGAGGGCACCTGGGATGGGGACAGACAGGAATGGTCCTGTTCAGCCATAGACCTCAGTCTTTTGGTGACCATCAAGAGGAGGGGGTTGTGTTACTTGCTGCAATATAGCTGCCCATGTCAGTGTCACAGGGAAAGGACACCCCAATATTATCCCCCCGTGTTCCCTGATGGGAGGACCACCTTGTCACCAGTGCTGTGATGTCTTTCTTCTGGGCACATCGGAGCTGCTGGAGGCAGGAACCGCCCTCTGGTCCTTGTCCCCTGCTCCATCTTGTCCTTTCTCCCAGATGGAGCCTGGGGAGGTGACGACAGGCCTTGACAACGAGCTGGAGATCCCGGTCAGCAGCGGCCCCAGCGGGGACTTTGAGATCCGGGAGGAGGAAGAGACGACTCGTCCCGAGCTGGGGAACGAGGTGATGGTTGTGGCGACGCCGCCGCCGCGGCCCGGGCTGGGCAGGGAGGCCAAGACGGGGCTGATCGACAACACGATAGACTCGGGGAACTCGGCTGCTCAGCTCCCCCAGAAGAACATTCTGGAGAGGAAAGAAGTGTTGATAGGTGAGTCTGGGGGCCGCGGGCTGGTGTGGGAAGAGCTCCTGGGGCTGGGCTGGCTGGGATCCAGGAGAGGGTTGATCTTTGGCAGGGCACTGGGGGAGTGTTGAGCCGAGGATAAGCCAAGCTCTGTGCTAGGGGGGTTTCCAGGGGGCTTCAGGTCTTTGCCAGATGAGTGCAGAGCTGTGCACAAGTTGCTTTTGCTAAGATGAAAAAACAGGATGTCAGTGGGGTGATGTGCTGGGGTACTGGCTGGGCACCACCTGGCCACTTCTAATGGCACAGGGGGGAGAGAGGTGATCTGGGAGGGCCACTTGTCCCAGCCAGAGGGACATCAGAGGTGGGGCAAAGGTGTTGGTGTCTCACCACCAGCTGAAGGCAGCTGGAGACTATGGAACAGCAAACAGGTGTTGTTCTTGTGGTCTTCAGTGGAGCGTGGTGGGTGTCAGCAGGCACTCAATGAGGTTACAGCCTGTGCAGGGATCTCTCTGTGCCTGGGTTGCTTCCTGCAAGTCCATTGTCCACCATGAAGCTGTGGAGTAGATGCCTTCGGGATCTACCTGCCCTTCAGGTCCTACCTAACCTCTGGGTCCTACCAACCCTTCAGCATGGCTGCACTTGGCAACTTGTTGAAGCTTCACATGGTTGTGTTACCCCCTCACCTTCTTTTCCAATTTTCTTAAACCCCAGATTTCAGGAACAGAGGTGCTTGCAAGCTTGCAAACCCAAAACCAAGCTGAAATCCAAACTGTTCCCCCCCCCCCAGATTATCTGCCCCAGGACCGCACTGACGGCCGTGTCACTTCTCTGTCTTGCAGCGGTGATCGTGGGCGGCGTGGTGGGAGCCCTGTTTGCTGCCTTCCTGGTCATGCTGCTCATCTACAGGATGAAGAAGAAGGACGAGGGCAGTTACACGC